TCTCTCCCTCTCCCTCTCCCTCTCCCTCTCCCTCTTTCTCTCTCTCTCTCTCTTTTTCTCTCCCTCCCTCCCTCTTCTGCTTTCGCTCGCCGCTCCGTGTATCAAATATTAACGAGATCGAGCGCGTCGGATACACCGTCGTTAATCTGAAACTCAAATTAATCACAAGAATCGGGTTTCCACCTCGTGGATCTTCGTCGGGGCAGAGATGCGCAGAATAATATATCCGAAAAATCCTCTTTTAACTCTTCGAAGCTGCTTCTCGGCACTGGCGCAAAATGAAATAATCTCTAAATGTCTCTAGAACGAAAGCAACGTCAGTTGCGCTGACAGGCGCAAATGAATTACCGTGAGATCACTACATTTACGAGTATTAAGTATCGTTCTCAGAAGAATTAGTGAAGTCACAATGCGATGAAATTACAGTTAGAATTTTTAGCTCAGCGTAGCTCTTTTAACAGTAATACCTGCAGAAAAATAGGCAGCTTAAACGAGATTTCTCTACTATAATGCAGAAACTTCCGCGTCCAAGCTCTGATAATCCAATTTTATTACATTGAGAAGCAAAAAACCAATCAGAACATTTTCATACTGGCACGATGCGAGAAGCGCGCGAATGTCGTCGATGTGTATCGAAATTAATTTATCAATCGCTGCAGTACAATAGTCCGTTATTTTCGCGTCTCGATACTTTAACAAACTTGACGACGAAGTTAAATCATCGTCACAGCGGCGCCGGGAAGACGGGAGGTCACCGGGCGGCTATTCAGCTTCGGAAAGGTGCTGCTGACGGAAACGTCGATTAATTACACAAAGCGGTAGCGAAATACAGTTGCCGAATTCGGTGCGGCGCGCGTCGCGGCGGAGACATGGCAGATGCAGCCGCAACGCGCGTACATTAGAGCGTGTAACGGCATGAAAGCTCCGCGCGAGAGAGACCAACGCATGTCTGGCACATTGGTCGATGTTCAAGAGTTACCGCCTATCTCTCTCTCCCTTGCACTTTACAGAGTGAAATTTATGGCACATAATATCATTACGTCGAATCGCCCGCGATTCCATTCGCGCCGCGGGATTCGCGCGCGCTGTATACACCGCTGACTGAAGAAAAAGCGCAATATCCGCGCGCCCACGCCGGAATTTGCGTGCTAAAATAAAATTATCCGCCGTCGGCAGCGGCGGCGTGTTCGCGCGCGAGTGTATATACTAAGCGCGCATAATATATCGGGTATCCCGCCGTGTAATGTATCGGATAACTGTCAGACAGATATAGCGAAAGTTTCGCCTTGCCCCGCTTAAGACGCGCTTAAACGATTTTGCGTTTCTCGGGGATAACGCAGATGTTAGTTTTGCGTTCGCGGCGGAGCAGTCGCGGGAGCGCGCGATACATTTCGCATTAATGTATTCCTTGTGCATCCCCAGGCTGCCGCCACGTGGGTTTAACGCGGATTCGTAATAATTTATCTTCCGTTAGAGCGTTTAAAGTAAAGTTTAAGTTGCACGGGGCGGCACTTGGACCGATTGTTTCGCTTAACGATAATGCGACGCGCAAATAGACAGCGCCGAGGACAATTCAACCACGCTCGAGCGACAGAAATCGCAATTTCCGGATCAAAGCGATGCCTCGTTGCCAATTAGACGATTCAACCAACTTCCGCGTCTTGGAGCGCGGAAAATCACAGACGCGATGAACGACAATTACACAACACGTACCACGTTTGATAAAAAAAAAAAGAAAGAAAGAAATAAGCAGTCTTTGAACAATCTTGTGCTGCGTCCAATTGCGTTTCTGTTCGGTAAACATCGTTATACAATCGATATATATATATATTGTAAATTTTATATATTACTTTAATACACGGAGTACAATGTTTTTTATCACGTTTCTGCATTTGTCGTTTCAACGTGGATACGTGCAATTCAAAAGTCGTTTGTAATTCATTTCTGAAACATAAGCATGTAAATGAAATTCTTCCGGAAACGGAATTCTGATTTTACTGAACAGCGGTGTAAATTAAACGGAGCGTTTAAGGGAAAGCAGTGAATTAGGAGTACAGGAGCTTTGACTCAATTAGAACAAATTCCATTTCTAACATTTCGCGATGCTCGAGGTGGAAAAGTCAGAAAATCACTAGATTTACATTTCGGCGACGCAGAATGGAAGTTGAGAAATCTTTTTCTTATCGTCTTCTTATACCGATGGAAACTAATAAATCATTGAGTCCATCATTTTTCCGCATCTGGGCGATAAAAAAACGCGTTCAGACGTCAAAGCATTGATCGCCGTGAGAGTAGCGTAATTTTTTAGCAAGAGAAAAGTTTTGATTTTTAATTAAAGAGCGTTCTTTTCGGTAAAATTTTGATCGCTGATTTCTCTTTAAGGAAACGCTTAATTTCTTTGATTAATTTAAGCCCTAAAATGCTAAAATTCCTCACAATGCGAGACAAACATTTTTTGCAACATAATTTTTAACATCGAAATTGTAACATGGTTGTTATGTTTATAATAAAACACTAACCATACTGATAGCCGCAGCAGTTGTTCTTTGGTCATAACATGGTTTTGCGGCGAGCAGTTCGAAATTCTGTTGAAATTGATTGAAATCGATGCCAGGCTGTCCTAAGCGTAATTGAAGAGTGAATATCAAATATGGGCTAAATGCCAAATGTGATGTAATATTGCGTACAGTTAACATAATGGAAATTTTATACTTGCGAAGATACAGTCCGCTACTTTAGCGTCTTCAACTATTTAATTTAGCATCTTAAGTTATCTAAACCGCTGAGGTAATAAACTTCCGCAAGCGCGGAACTTGAAATGTTTCTCTTATCGCGATTCAGAAAATCATCTCTGGCGAATCTCTCGGTGTTCGATTTCCATTTTTCAATTTACAAGTGCCTCGTTTGATAGTCGTAAAGGATTATTATCGCGAGTGTATTAAACCATCCTTCGGCAGTGGAAATCAGTGAGGTGTCGAGAACGCTTTCCGCTGATGGAATTATCCTCCCCTTTTCTCTCCCCGACTAACGGAATAAGTCTCTAACTTGAGCAATTATACGCCGACTTCCTACGTAGGGCGAAAACGACAGGACTCATTCGGCTTTACGCCTCTCAAATCGGCGCGTTTGCCGAAGTAATAAAGACCGCCGCCGTATACGGCTGAGCGAGGCGAAAGGCAATCAGCACTTACGTGTGTCCGTGTGATTCCGCGAGAATGGACGTCGGGGTACCCGGGAGCTTCACTCGTGACTGGTCATACCGCGAGAACACACGTACACACACGTACACCGACACACACCTTCTTCTCCCGGTCGCGAACTTATGATAGCGCCGTATAAATCACTGCGCTTTCAGCCCCGGCACGGTTTATATCGTTCCCCCCTTTAGATAGAGTCTTCAACGTTTCTTCCCCGCCCGGATCATTCTCCGCCGTCGGCGAACGTGGCGTAATTCGTCCCTACTGTTCTGCCTGCCTCGTGAAATGCCACTGTGAAGTATTCTCCTCTGCACTATCACGCGATAAGACAAGTTATGCGCGTATACTCGCTCCTCCTCGCAGAGCGCGATTCGCGCCACCGATTCCCCCGAGAGTATCTCGTTATTTGTCCCGCGAATTTGCAAAATCACGATGCGATAATTGCGATATCGCCGTCAAACGGGACGGCGACGAGGGCGAAAATTCGCGCGGCCCCGCGTCGCACCGCTGCGCTTCTCGTCAGCGAGAAACTTCCCCTCGTTTGCGCGCGAGGTGAACGATCGACGAACCGTGTGCGGCTCGCAACCCGGCACGAGTCGAACTCCGCTACCTTCCTCGGGACAGTGTTCAGGTGGGTTGACGACGCCGACGCCGACGCCGACGACGCCGCCGCCGCCGCCGCCGCCGCGGCCGTCGACGCCGGCGCTGCCTGCCGGGGGTCGCGAGGGTGGCTCCGGCTTCGCGACTGCGCCCTTCTCAACCCTTTTGCTCTCTTCAACCCATTACGTACCTCGCACACGCGTGACCGTGAGACAACACGCGTCTCTTTACGCGTATACCAGCTGCACGTATGTATCGCATACGTGTATAAGCGAAGCCTGGTGTGTCTCTGTCTCTCTCGTTTTTCTCTTCTCTTCCTCCCTTCCTCTCTCTTCTCTCTCTCTCTCTCTCTCTCTCTTCTTCTCTCTCGCACTTTTTCCCTCTTTTGCTCTCCACTGCGTGCATCCCCGAGACCCCCTGTTTCTCTATGTACAGCCCCGAACCGCGTCTCTCGCCACCGCAACATGTAACCTCGTAGTGGCTTTCTCTCCTCTCGCCACCCCCTTTGTCCCACCTCGATTGTACTATATCTCGCGATGCATCACCGTATCACTTTATGTCTCGCGTAACGTTTTATTAACCAGAAATCAAGTGTACCCCCCCTTGTGCGATCCTCGAGACCGAGCGCGTTCCTCCGCGTTCCTTCACGTATTTCCCGTCGACCGTTCTGATTTCCGTTTATCCGCGTGCCCTCGTTCAACGGATATATATTTCTTCGGTGCTTCTAACTGCCACTAATGTCGATCCGCGGTCCCATATGTCTCGAATGTTATTGTTGCTTAGAACATTTCTATTAACTGTCATACCCGCCTACTTTCAGCCCGACGCCCTGCGCGTTTGTATTCATATGCACATCCGTGTGTCCTCCACGTGTCGTTCTTTCACCCATTCCTTTCTTATTTGTTCAATTTTCCGCATTTCCACAATGACATTTCTTTGGCTTTACATCGACGCACCCGTCAGCTCGCGTCTGCATAAGAATAGTGACGGTGTGCACAATTTTCCTCGCACCGGATATGAAATACTTTTTCTTCCGATTTTGCTCTCGATCGCATAAATGTATTCATAATGCGTCATTTCAATATTTCTACTATTTATAAAGATTCTGGGAATGATTTAAAGAGGTCATTTTGCTGAAGGAGTTCAGCGGTTATAGTGATGTAAGAAGAATTAATCTTAAAAACCTGATTTCTTTCACATACTCTTCGAGAACTGAATTTCAACGTGTTTCTTTGCTAGAGAATTACATATATTGAATTATTATATGTTCTATATATCTTGTGGTGAACACCTGTCGTCGAAAAAGAAAAGATTGCAAACGGTAGTGATCTCCAATTAAATTTTCAGCAAAAGCTAAATCTTTCCCATGAAAAATTGTAATGAGGAGAAAGCATGTTGTTTTTAATACGTTTTATATAAGAGCCTGTAAGTAAGTACTTATACAACAACACTAGAAAACTTCAGCTTTCTTGTAATAGCGTATTCTGATTGTTTGAAGAAGAAGCATTATGTTTTGTGCTTTAGGAACGACGCTAAAATTTAATGATGGTTGTAAACTTTTATAAGGACCTTATTAATGACGCATTTAGAAACAGATTTTTATAATCTTTTTTACAGTCTTTCTCGTGTCACTTTCCGTATTCAAGTTCGCTATATCCTCGTATGTAGAATGTCAGACAGATAAAATATATATATTGATGTCAATAGAATTACTATATTAACGTCGTAATAACGTTGGTACATCGAACTTTTTAACGAACGAAAGTTTCGAGAAAGACGAAAGATTTTAAGTGACTCTTGTATGAATAAAGTTTTGATTTCAAATTTAATTACAAAAATATTGAAAATTGGAAAAGCGATAGACCATTATGTTCCTCGATATTTTCGCGAAAGAAAAAAATGGTCTCCATCACTGTAGAATCTATAGTGAAAAAAAATGTCCGATGCAAGATTATCGTTGTAGATTATCTGGATGGAAATAGTAAAAAGCTCGTTTCGAAAGGTCGATAGATGCCCGCGCGACCGCTTGCGTCGTTGAACGCTTGTCAAAACGTACACATTGGCGGACTATAGGGAAATTAATATCGAAGCATATGTTCCGAGCAGACCCGCCTAAATGCCGGCGCATCGGTGCGTGGCAACCAGCCGAATCCGTGGCTTGCTTGTGTGCACGCGCCGGTATGCGTGAGCGAGGAGGAGGATGAGGCAGGCACAAAGTCCGTGGATAGTGCCGGTCGGATGATATAGTGGATACCGGTCCGTAGTGCGGCGGCATGGTGGTTACAGATAAGGAACAGGTCGCATCGCGGCGGCAGGGGGGGGGGTAGAGACGGTACTAATTTAGTAAGCGGCAAGCAGGAGGGGTAGCGGCAATACTACCACTTCCGGCTTTCGTGTCTGCGAAGACGGAAGTAACGCGCCGCGCGGTACACGCCGGGGACGCTTTAAATTTAACAAGGGCGTCGATATATTTCCACTCATTCCGTGCGAAATATCGCAAATAAATTTATGCAGGACTTTCTTTAGAGAAGCATCGATATCGCGCGGCAATATCGCGAATAATGTAAAATGTATCGATATAAAATATTCAGTAGTCAAACCAAAATAGTAATGCCGCGATATTATTCAAATACTTTGCGTTTGGAAATATTGCTGTGGACCCTTAAATTTAAGATGTTCTTCATATAAATTTTTCAAAAAATCGATAATCCAATAAAAAATATTAATACTTTTATCCACTTAATGTCAGGGATATCGTGGATTTTAATCAGGGATTAATATTACTAGATGCTTTTTGAATAAATAAAAGCCTTTCGCTCGACCGTTTCTTCAAAAATTACCAATACTTCTCTGCGTTTTTCCGCAAAATATCGATGTTTCCAGATATTTTCCTCAAAAAGCCGATACTTTGCAATCCCGAAATATCGTAAATATTCGCAGTAACACCCGCGCGGATAACGTGTACGTATAAGCGTGAGTTAGTCGAGCATATTTTATCCCGCGCGCACATTCGCATACGCCGCGAATCGGGTGACTATGACGAAACGCGGGGGATTTCGCAGCCGGCGTATAGCGGAGATTTCTTTTCCGCGCGCCCGCCTCGCTGTCAAAACGGGAAGTACGTACGCGAAAGAGTAAAGTAGGATACTGTGCCGAATGGTTACACAGATAAGGCAAGTCTCAGCGTCCTGCTCTCTGCGGAAAGGAGGGAGGACAAAAAAAAAAGAAAAGAGAGAGAACGCAGCGCAAAGTTTGATCCCCCTCGTTCTCTCCCGCTACTTTGGCCTCTTTTCTTTCGGATTTGCTCAGCGCGCGGGCGGGCACATCTGCGCTTCGTCGCGTGTTGCTCGTGCGAAAAAAGGCTCCGAAGGAAGAGTGGATTCAGACCGGGATCAACGGAATTTACTCCGGCGGATTGCGAGCACGCGTTTTCCCCGCCGCTGTGCCGTCGCCGTCGCGGCCGATCGGCGCGTGACAGAAATTGTGTCTCGCGAACAAGTATCGACGTGTACATTCGAGGATATCCCGGTAACGACTTTACGGCGCAAGTTACGAGGAATATCGGAACGACGGTGAGGACGCGTTAGCGAGGGATCTCTCTGGCGGCGTTGTATCCGTTGTTTGATGAGAGGAAACCAACGGCGGGGCGTGTGTACAAATTCTCGTGAAACATACAGCGTGTGTGTGTGTGTGTGTGTGTGCGCGCGCGCGCGCGCGCGCGTATACACGCGACAGAGATGTACACAGAGATGTACACAGCTGTGCGAAATCGCTGAATATTCCGTCGGTAATCAGTCCTCGTTTCAACAGTCGGTCCACCGAAATAGTCCCGGAATTACATATTACATGATTCCGCATGCTGGCGATATTTCGAGCGAGCGATTGTTCGCGACAAGACTCGGGATCCCGAGAAAGCGGACGGATAATACGCGACGGCGAGCGCGATAATGTCGTCGCTTGTCGACGGAGACCGGAACGGGCTGGAATATGCTAATTACGCAGGGACAAAAAAGCGCATTGTACGAGACCGCCTTTTTAGCGTCGCATTAATATTATGCAAACTCCGTTCATTCGCGTTTTCCGCACGCAACTCCACCGAAGTGCTCTCCTTCTCGTCCCGGATGTGTGTGTGCGTGTGTGTGTGTGTGTGTACGAGCGGAGCGATATGACGAGTCGAGTGGTGGGAAAGTACAGCGCACCGTCGTAAAGCACCGACTTTTCGAGATAACGCGATTCGGATGCGGGACGCGAGTTAACGCGCAAAATACCGTACGGTGATTTACGACGGTTTGCGTTTAAGATGAGAAAACGCCGGGACCTTCTTTCCTTTTTCGTGCGTTTCTCACAGTTCTCAAGGCAGCGCGCGATGTGCCGCGCGCGCTCGCGCGCGGTCTACGTATACGCGTAATAAAACATGATGCATAGTGCACGTATGATTAGCTGTTTCATTAGCCGCCGGGTGCTTATTCGGCTTTTAGATCAGTGCACCGTGTGTAGCGCGGGCATAGCTCCCAGCGAATCGCGGGAGGAAAGCTCGTTTGTGCGCCAGCCGTGTATTTTGTACTTGTCCATTCGCTTACATGCGTTTCCACTACACGCGTCGTTACGAGGAGTTAGCGCCATTGGACCCCGGCGCCATAGCCCGCTGTGTTAATAACCATGCGCGTATACATATCTCGAAGGATGACCGATTTCCGCTGTACATACGTTACCAAAGCTCGGTTCTGAAACTATCGAGGAAACAAACAAACACAGGCGAATGCGAGAATCCAACTGGGATTTCGCAAACTCCTGCAAACTTGATCCATTAAAAATTATTATCATCAATGCGGAGTATTCTCCAATTAAATTATTGCAGTTGTTTTCTTCGCTCTACAAACTGACACGATCTTTTAACAATATTCGGAAAATTTTACAGTCGGACATCGAACAATTTCAATGCGATAAATTATTCATTGTTAAACGCAATTAAGGAAGTCTTACGTATGCAATTAACAGAGTTATCAGCCGGATAATATGCATCTGCAAATCGTGAATCGGTAGCGTAAACAGCATAGATAGAGACTTGACACTAGTCTAGATTAGGCTTATGTAGTAAGCATGTTTCCGGGAAGCATGCCGAGGACGGTTAATAGTTCTCGACCATTTCCGCTCAAGTATCTGTAAATTCTATAAGTTACATATTGCGGGAGAAGTTGGCTGTAATCCACCAACTTCGAAACTCAAGTGTCTTTGTACAGCCGTGCCGAGGGGTCTTGGCGAGCGGCAAGAGAGCACGCTGCATCAAAGTAGTATGAAATAACTTTCGCGAGTCTGTGAAGTTTCTCGTTTCCTATCCGGTCGAAAATGATTTCCAAGAGCGCGAGTTTCTTAAAGTAATGTCCCATCGACTGTGACGTTTGCATTTTCATGTCCAAGGATAATTCCCCAATTATGACCGTTGATCTGCATGCAACTCTCTCTCTCTCTCTCTGCCTCTCTACACGAGATGCGGGAGGATCATTCTGGCAAACTTGAGCGAGTGATGGAGATAACGAAACTAAGCTCTTCTTGCATAATAAACGTGGAGCTTAATTTTAGCACAAGTAATATGTCACTCGATTAGATAAGGTCTTGTGGAAGTACATTGCAAGCGTCTTAATCCAATAGAAACGCTTCTAATGCCGTTCTAATGTCGAAATCGTGTCGAACCGCTCACATCTGACGGCGATCTTTTCTGCCGAATCAGTGATTCGAATTTGATTGTGCTGTATCGATGACAGCGGAGAAAAGGAAAATTCCTTTCTACTATTTTGGGTTTGAAGTAACGTGGCTACGACGTCGGCATAGAGATCTCGTAACCGATTCCCCTGGTGGCACAGCGGACGGGAACTAACGCGGTGCTGCAAGAGCAGTTCGTAACTCCTTGGAACTCGTTGGATAACATCTTTGCTACTTCTCGAGTGACAACGCGGCAGAACGGGTTGGAAAGGTATAAAGCGAACGTTCCTCGTCGCGAGACACACCGGCGGACACACGTCTTCGCAGTCTGACGCTTTGATCTTTTCACCTACCTACCACGACGACGCTATCGGGCATCGAGGGACGTTCTCTCTCTCTCCACTGGACGTTGGAACGTCCTTTTGCTACTTTTGACGCAGTTGTCTTTGACTTCGTCGGCCACGCGGTCGCGTTCGGAGCGTCAAGTGGAAAAAGGACGGCGTGGAGAAGGGAAGGCGTATTCTCTCGTTCGTGAAATCAAATTTTCTCAACGACAGTGCATTCGCGTAATTTTGAGAGACAGAGGGAGCAACGTTATAATTACTCGCCATTACATATTTCGTCGAGAGCGAATTAAACTGTCAGCAATCACGTGGAATCCGGCGCTCGATGTAGAATTTTATTATCCTTTGCTGCGCAACCGATTAATACAACATCATTCGTATCAACGTTTGAAGCGCTCGTTAATCCGTCGACAATAATAATTTTTGGCCTAATTACTCGATCATCTTCGATGAACTCGAAATGTGATATTTACGCGTGTGGATAATACTGCTCGGCGAGCCGAGCGTCCCGAGTTCGCATTATTCGTTCATAAGAGGATAATTCAGATAAACATATGCGCGCAACATCAATGTTACAAGCGCTTTAGCATCGCGCGGCGATAATTATCGCGCGTTTCTCCGGCGTTCATTTAATATTTCAGGCGTGGCCATAAACAAAAGTGTATCGGATTTCCCCGATGCGATGTGGCGGTCATATTGACCGGGACGAGCGGAACGAGCGCGCCCGGTTCAGATCGTGCGTTAATAATCCTAATAAAACATATAACCGATGCGAACAATCGTCGCGTTAGAGTTATAAATGCATGTATCAGCGCGGTGCATTTGACACGCATTATATTCCCATTATTAAAACATATTACTACCAGCGTATCCCCCAACGAGCCTGAATGTATAACGGAATGAACGTAACGCCGATAGGGTTGATAGATCACGCATTTCCCCGACGCCGTCGATGAGCCGAGCGCGAGCGCGCGTGGCTATTTCATTTTCCATCTCAGTGGATTTGCCGGGGCTAATCGATAATCACACCACAGACACGCCCGACGCTCGCTGCGATAACAGCCAAGCGAACGAAGAACCAACTTCGCCCTTTCGAAGCCATTCCGTAGCGTTATCGACAGTCGGCAGCCTCGGCCGTGTATATCGAGCGTAATTTTCCCGGGCGTGATGTATTGCCCCCGAATTTTACAAAATTTTACGCGTGCAATGTCTTTTGGACATTTCTCTTGTCGATTCGATATCTCGCTATTTCCAAATGGGATACGTATCAAAAATTTAAGTTACAATTAATTAAGGTATTATTACTTGAAATTTGAAAGATTTGGTTCATAAAGAATCTTGGAATTTGCAATCTACATTTTTTTACGCAACGTCAGACGCAATTTTTCACTATTGATTCGTTCAAATATAATCGCGCGCTATCGACTGCAAAAGTCACCGGGTGTACCGTCGGCTGGTTGCATTCACTGTAAATATAGTTGATCGCGCGTCTGTGTAACATCCGATCAAATCCGGCTTTCTTTCATGTTGGTCAATAAAGTGTCGTGTCTGCCACAAATTGCTCCGGAGCTAAATCGTAGCAATTAGCGAAGCGTATGCGCGTTATTGAATTGGCACGCGGAGCAGCGCGCAGCTTAGCGACATCGTTATAGAATATCCCCATTCATCTTGCAAACGCGCGCATTTCCGCGGCTAATTAAAATTATATCGTCATCCGCGTGCAATCGCACTTATCCCTCTTCCATCTGGAAAATGAGGCCAGAGATAGGACACAGACGCCCTCGGGTGACGGCAATAATGAAAGAAATTTATTGAGATGGACGGAGCGGCGCAAACAAAACCGTGAAAATTGCGGGAATACGTCGTTAACGGGGGCGTCGTAAAAGCGGCGGCCGCATTGCACCGAAATCACCACTTTCGCGCTCAGAAAATTAAGGAACCCACCTAACGGTCAACATTATTCCCGACATAATTGCCGATCAGCGTAACGACTCCTTGTCCAAGTGTAATTGTGAGATCTTTGCGAGCAAAAGTTGACTGCCATTTACCTGCGAAAGTATATCTTTTGTTTTATTTATCACGTGAACATATATTTTGCTTACACCTTAGGAACGAGTAAATCGATAAATTCTTAATAAATTGAACACACAGTAAGAATATGTTCTAAAAACGTTATGCGTGAAAATATGAACGCTTAAACTTTACTTTCTCCCGAAACAAATTTTCGAGCGAATTGTCAAAACATAGGAAATAAAAAAATACATGATAAATATGTTTCGGCAAACTTTTCGCTATTTTACTGTGCACTGTGTTCTTATAGCACAAGTTACGTTTACCATACGTTCTTCCTGTTTTTATTAACAGATCGATCGACCTTACTAAGAACTTTCGATCGTAACGGATAATGTCAACGTCGGAGTTTCGCTGCTTTGTTGGCCGTACGCTATCGCTATGGTAACTTTGCGAATCGTTTGTGCGCGCGCATTTTCTTCACTTTTATGCGCATCGTTTTCCGCGAAGAACATTGTCACCATTAGGCAGAGGCGACGGGCAATATATTTCTGGCACGGTACATCGACCGAGCGTGCGATAAGCCAATTAATTAGGTTGATGCGTAATAGTTTGCAAGTATCATCGATTCGTATCAATCGGTTGAGTTTGTGCGGGATCGCAGGTAAGGGTCACATCTGAAAACCATTTAACGGTGTATTAATTAGCGGAATTACTACATTAACAGTAATTAGAACGACGCGTTCTCTCGCAAGACGTGACTATTCTTGTTATTTGCTTACCACAAATACTCCGCGCGCTATTAGTGTTTAATTTGATATCTGAAATTAGCAGAGAGAGAGAGAGAGAGAGAAAGAGAGATAGAGCATTTACAACAAATTTGCTCTTTCTTGTCAAGAAATTCTATTTTCCGCAGTTTGCTTAAGCGACGTCACATTTTATACTCAACTTTATCATTATTTTAACATTTTCATAATTTTACTCTTAGTGCCACCGTATAATTATTTCTCTTTTACTCATCACATTATCTTCATTTGTAAAGCTATATTTACATTCATAGTAGATTACACATCTCGTGCAGACACGATCGGAAAAATCAGTTTTCCATAGAAACATCTCATTGTGCTTTAGAGCACACAAGTAAATTCCAAGTGGAAACAGGAAGAAATTTGTATGCAGCGGCGGTGCGCGTAGACGTAGGTCTAAGATCTACAGATTTAAAAGTTTGTGTTTAGGTTCGGGCTGCAGTATAAAAATCTCATTTATATAGTGACGATACAGATCGAGTAACTCAGAGCGAAGAGAGAGAGAGAAAAGGAAAGAAGCGCAGTGAGAAAAACGCGAAGGGAATAAGCAACGGGCGAACGAGATGCCGATTGATTGTTACTACTTCCCGCCGAGTCCACCTTGTCGCACCGTTATGTTACTCGCGAAAGCTTTAGGCGTCCATTTTAACTACAAAATCGTGAACGTCATGAACGGGGACAATATGCAGCCGGAATTTATACAGGTTTTCTGAATTGCATTATTTTTCTCTTCGCACGTAGATTTCTCAACTTTCAGTATATTATTTAAACAAACATATCAACTTTAAGCAAGAAAAATTTATTTTTTTTGTTCAGAGAAGCTTTTTCAAAGCGCAATTTTATTTTAGATGAATCCGCAACACGTGATACCAACTATCGATGATAACGGCTTTGTTCTGTGGGAAAGGTATGAGATTCACGTTTAACGTTTAGCGTTTAGCGTGAGATTTAGAATTTAATTAAACTGTACTTAGAAATTTACGTGTCATTGCAGTCGTCCAATTATGGCGTACTTGGTGAGCAAATACGCGAAAAATGATTCTCTTTATCCGAAAGATCCGAAACAGAGGGCAATGGTTGATCAGATGCTGTACTTCGATGCCGGCCGTCTCTATTACAATATGATAAAATGTTACGTACGTTGACTGATTTTGTCTGGAAATCTTTCTAATTATTACGTCAATCCAATTGACCCGACGCAAGTGATTTAATTGACAAATTTCCTGATAAATTCTATGATAAACTTTGAAGCTGATATAATATTTTAGCAAATTTTCTGATAAATTGTACGATAAACTTTAAAGCCAATATAATACAATATTTTCTTTCCACTGGTTTCCATTTAGCTGCATTAATGCGGCTTCTATTAATTGCGGCACAAAATACATCGTGTATTTCCAGAACACTTAGAGCATTACTGTATATTGAATGTTGTCTGTGTCAACGCGATACGATGAACAAAATCATTATCATCTAGGTTCCGGTATTTCGGGGCCTGGCTAATTCAATTAACGAGACAGATCTGGAACGAGTGGAAAAATCATTCGAGGTGCTGAACACTCTCCTCGAAGGTAAGGAATTCGCGGCTGGCGATAACCTGACTATCGCCGATTTCGCTATCAGTACGACTATCTGCACAGTGCTGGTAAGTCTTGTTGCGACGGACGACGGGTGGGCTGTTGCGCACACGCTGAGGCCGATTTTTCGATTGCAGTGCTTCGACTTCGACATCGGCCGTTACGATAACGTTGCCGCGTATTACGAACGTTGCAAGGAAAATTTGGAGAGATTCGGATTCGAGGAGGTGCACGCCATGGGTGTTAAAGCGTTTACCGAGATGTACCACGCGAACCTGCAAGAATCTAGTTAACGTGAATATGGCTATGGATATTTGTGCGCGTCTAAAGTAGAGGATCGATAATACCTCGTTTACCTGAGATCGAGATTAGACATGGAATCCCATCGTTATCCCTTATAGAATTTAAAATTCCCTTTTTACCTTCGCGGCTCCTGGCATTTCAACAGTTTTCTTCTAATAAATCAAGTAATACGAGTGTTCTAGAAACGCTGTGTCGTTTAAGCGTTGTACTTATTCCACTTAACAGATTTTAGCATGCACACTAGTCGTTATATTGCTGAGATATCTATCATTATTTCTTTGCAAGGCACACAATAAAATAACTTTGAAATATAGTCACAATCAAGCGTGATAATTTACTTGTACATAAAAAATATGATTTAGCTGCAATTATTTCCTTTTTTAATTTGAAACATAACTATGACAAGGTGCACACACGTGAAATGAAATTTATAAAGTTAACAAGTATCAATGCTCATCTAGCAAACACGGAAAGAATATAACGACGGCAGTGACGAGGCTAATGTATCTCGCCTTGTCATTATTACACTTCATTTTCTTAATTACAGCGTGACGTCCAGTCACGTGAAGCACGGGAGTTCTGTGCCGCACGAACAGTACTATATCCCTTCTAAGCGCGTGCATTAGCGACGCAGATAACGATCGCCGAAACAAAACGAAAGGGCTGAAGGCGGTGAATATTATCCGTGGATCTTATCTTTTCGGCTGTATTTTTGTTTTGCCGTATCTAGCGTGAGTATTGACTTCCAGCGAGCCGCCCGCTTTCCTGTCTATAGCAACATAATTGCGAGGCAACGCCAATAAAAGCGCCGTTATCCTGCCGTCTTATCGCGAGCAGTCATATTTGTCGTGCTATTTGGTAACATTCACTTATTCGTTCCTTTCCCCTCAAGCTCGACGCGCTTCGTATGTGTACCATTTAATCGTTTATCTCCGCCGGCATCGCCTTGTACTCCATGCTCCGATATGGGTATATATATCGGCCGTCCTCTGCTACACGCGAGCAATTACGTAACAACCGGCGATTCTGACCGGTGTTCGACAATGACGAGGCGGGAATGTGTTTCACAGCCGTAGAATCCAGTACGTTCGAAGGCGGCAAGAAACTATTCCCGCATTGTTGGCTCATGCTGTCGGACGTGTCGCGCCGGTTTTTACCTTCTCTCGCAGATAACATTGGAAGATTATTAATTACAAGTTAATTCTACAACAGATTTATTTTGAAAGCCGAGATATGCTTTTAAACGTGATTTCCAACAACATGTTTGAAGCATATTCTCCGAGGAATATTAGTTAAATTCTGTTTAACTTTAAATCGCATTTGTGAGAACAGTTTATATATAGCGAATCAAATTTAACGCCATGCAAAAACGTACATATGCAAAAAAAGTTTGGATAAGTAAGTTTTATCTAATCGCTTACGATAACCTATCGACGTTATTAACATAACCGCTTTATGTTAGTTTCGCGGCGAATTAATTCGCTTTGTAGGAAATTTCCAAGTATAATTGCGTTAAAAGTTTAAACATTGCCCGTGCCGCAACTGGCTAATAACTCGATAGAGCTACTTATGCGATAATGCCTCTCGTGTTCTCGGAGAGGAAGTTTCTGGACGGTCAACCGCGAGCGATTAAAGCCGCCCATCCGGCTTTGATCAAACGAATCTCTCGAATTCAGAGTACGCTAATTCAAAATTTTGTAAATATTATTTTGCCATGTGTGTGTAGACATCTAATTGTGCGCATAAAAACACGCAAAAGATTTTAAGTAGCGATGTCACGCCAGATCATACATTTGCGTGAGAATATGACGTTAGTTCTTTGTGCAACTCTAGATAAAAGTGGGCCAGAGTTTTACATCGATTACTCGGCAATCGATCGTGTTGCATTCAATTGTCGTGTTTGCGGCTATAGTCGGCATCAAAATAGCTGAGACAATTGGCCGTTGATAATTGATTCTACAGAATTATGTTTACGTATATAATTCTGTACAAGTGGTAATAATAGCTTCTAGAACATTATATCGAGTATACATATTTCATGGAATAAGATTATCTTAATGTGTGTCTGAAAAATTAATTAATTCTCATTTCAGATATTCTCTAATTGATAGAAATAGATAACTATTTTATCGTCGATATATATAATATTTTAAATGCAAACTATGACATTTTCTATATTTTAGACGAAACAAGTATATTTTGCATTAGAAAGAAATAGAACAAAACATATTAACAATTAAAAAAATTAAATTTTGGCATCTCAATTGAGGGCAGTGTAGATTTGAAGATTTATTGTCTTAAAAGTTATCAAATATAAACGAGATATTTGTGCGCAGTTTATAACTACGTTGAATGTTAACTACGTTATAACAAAGTTAAAATTGTATAATCGAAAGAGCGTAGCTAATGTGGCATATATATTTAATTACATAGCTGCAGAATTTCATTAAGCTATAGATTATATACAAGTTTAATATACAAGTTAAGTGTTTAGTATACAATTTTTAAATAAAAAATTGAAGGATCTTGCACACGATTCTTATGAAGAAACGTTTTCGGTCAAATTGTCTGAATTTCTAATATATTTCTTGTATCTCTGATCAAAAGACTCAATGAGCACAAAATTTTTCAATGGACAGTTTTTTAAGTTATAGGCATTTGAAAGTCTTCTTCAAGATCCGTTTGCATGTTTACTTACGCGAGTCATGCATACCTGCCTGTATATGCCTACTTTTCTATGCATAGATGTCCTTCTGTTTGTGCAAATGTTTGTGCGTGTATGCTATTTTTATTTATTGATGAAGATTGGTGGCCTTTTGGCTGGCCGTCTAGCATGCCGGCTAGCGTTGAGCATATCAATGCCGTTGAAGTGACGCTCTTAAAGTGGGGCGACCTGTTGTAAGCACAATTTCTATTAATAAATAAAAGGATACATGCATAAATATTTGCACAAACATAAGGATCCATGCATACATAGGCCAGGTATGCACGGCAAATTTGCATAGACAAACATACACCACTTTCAAATGCTTGTAACTCAAAAACTGTTTGTTAGAAAACTTTGTGTCCATTGAGGCAATGTAACGTGGGTTGGCAATTTTTAATAAATATAGCCGGAGATGTTCTAGCGTAAACTGTCAATTTTTAAAAATAGCCAGAGACGATTTAACGTGAACTGGCAATTTTTAAAAATAGCCAGAGACAATTCAACGTGAGCTGGCAATTTTTAGTAAATATAGCTGGAGGCAATCTAATGTGAGCTGGCAATTTTTAAAGCCAGAAGCGATCTGTAACGTGGGCTGGCAATTTTTAATATATAAAGCTAGAGACGGTTTTTTCATTCAACATAAATTTTATACCATTTTAAGAGAAAATGAATAATTTTCAGCATTATTTGATTAATGTTTAAAACTTTTATTTCTCCACTGCAGTTATATATTGAATTATGTTACAAGCAAGAAATTGTATTAATTTTTTTCCTCAGTTATTTAATAATCTATAAAAAGTAACTTTGTATATTTTATTATTCTATACTATAGCTAATAAATTAATATACATAACAATAATAATTTACTTTAATAATAATAATTTACTTTCTTAGATAGTATAGAATATATTAGCTAAAGCAAATGACTTGCAAGAACAAACTTATTTAGCCATATAACGCAAGGAAAAAATTGACGTGATATCGCGCTTCTGACGTCATAATCGAGTATGACTGCACGAGTGATTGCAAGTTTTAAAAAGCACAATTTTTATCTTTACAAAGATTTTAGCTAAACCGCGATTATGTTTTCTAAAGAAAGTTTCTAAAGAAATTTCAAATTAATATTATTAAATTAATATATAAAATAAAATATTTAAGAGATTAAGGATAAACTTCTTACTAAAATATCCTTTAGTTTGTAGACAATGTTTGTCTGAAAATGATATTATATTGGTGGGAAATTAGTCGTACTAGTTTTGCAATAAGTTGATGAAGTGATATCGAAATCGATGTCAGCGACTTATTTTTTCCGTATTCTTTCGGTATTCTTTCGATATTGATCTTGTCGAGTCATTGCAACGACAATACTAAAACTTTAAAGTTTCTTCGCGGTGTGGAGCAAAGCGAACCATGATCAGCACTTTTCGTACAGTGACGAATCATCGCCACGCTGGAACTGATTAGCGTCGGTGGTTCAATTAGCCGATGAAAGTCTGAAAAACATTGATAAATTAAAATGCTACGTAGACAAGTCTTCCGAGATCTTCTGACCTTGCGGGATTTAGCACAATATAAAATTAACTAATCGGAAACGTGCTTCCGATCGCGAAGTCTAAACTGTAAATACAGATGTCAAAGATACTTGAAATGCATGCACTACTTCATTTCGTCGCGAACGGTAAACAATGAATTTATGCAAATTATGAATTATAAAACTGTACACAGTTAGATATTGATAAAAGGAACACAATTGGATAGTAGACAAAAGCGTCGACTCACGCGCAATAAAATATCGCTGCTTGGCATCGTACGACATCTTAATAATGTATATCGCTTCTTCATTGTTGAACGTCGTTTATCACCTATCGCTGTTATGCAAATAGGACAGACAAAATGATCGCCGATCGAAAAATTCACGGCGGAATTAAAAAGCTGGGGGTGGCAACGCCTCCGAGACTACCGTAGGATTGAGAACCCTCGGATGCGATGATCGATCTCACTCTTGCGTGCGTGGAATAGAGAGAGTCTGTGCTGTTATACGCGCGGCCTTTATAAATAGCTAGAACATGCAAGTTGGTTAGACAGTCCGCTATAATCTCGCCGCGCGCCTCCAGAGACTACTATCTCCAGGTTCGGTCCCCGTTGTGACTTCTCTCTCTCTCTCTCTCTCGCAGTCCTCGCCTGTCACGAGTAATTCGTCGGAGCCATCTGAGTGACGAGACTATTTCAACGATCGCAAATTTGTGATTTACAGTGTGCGAGCACAATTTTGAAAGGAATTTCGCGTGTGCACGAATATCTCCTCGCTATTCGTGACTTATGAATGTGGAAATTTGCGGAATCATTTTCCACGTTTGCACAGAGTGTGAAGCTGTACGGATCTGCAAATAACTTTACCGGTTCGAATTTGGCAGGTTTACTTTTGAATAATCAATAACGGATATTAGTATGCAAACTAGATCCGTTTGAAATAACATTGTAAATTATATTTAGACCCGATATGTCGGTTGTATTTTCCTCTTTTGCTTTGCAAACGCGTTTGTAACGTAATATTTACGTAATAATTAATATTGTTTACGTTTCGAACTTTGAAGCATGGAAATCCTATCGTAGGAAATAGTTTCACTCGTCGCTCGAATGTGCCCGAATATCTGACACACGATCGATCATACTGGCTACTTCATTAATAGCGCGCGTCGCGCATTTTCGCAGATTTTAAGATGCCCATCGATCTTTACCTAGTTCTCGGAAGTGCCCCATGCCGGGCTGTGCGTTTGACGGCGGCGGCCATAGGGCTGCATATAAACTTGAAATTTACCAATCTTGAAGCCGGCGAACATCTGAAACCCGAATATCTTAAGGTAGTTTGCGATAATTAAATTGTCTGCAATGTGAAACATTTAGAGATACAAAAAGATATATAGGGAAATGTTGTTTAGAATTCTCTTCGATAGAAATGATTTATTTAAGAATTAATAATTTTTATGATTTATGGTTTTGAAAAGTTTTTAGTTTTTGTGAAAAAATTATAAAATTTTAACATTTTCTCGAATTAACAGTGACATTATTGAATATATTTATTTATTTGTGTATTACTGTTGCAAAATTTTTATTACCAAAAAAATATGATAAAACGTTTTACGTAATAAAAAAAGACTTCGTATTTGCGTAAAACATTTCATTTTATTTTCTCTTGACGTTTTTTAATGTATAAATTTATTTTACAGTAATATCGGTATTACCAAAGCAACACATTTGAAATATATTGCTGCAAAAACTGGAAACTCTCTAAATGTGACATTTTTGAAAGCCATGTCTTTAAATATCGAAAAAAACCGTGTAAATGCAAGCTTTTCTTTTTTTGCCTTCAATTAACTTGTCAGATGAAAGGGTATTAAAAAATTTCAAAATAATATGAAATTGACATTGATATTCTGCGTTTGACGCTGTAGATGAATCCACAGCATACAGTGCCTACACTAGATGACAATGGCTTATACTTGTCGGAAAGGTAGGGAAGATTTCTTTATTTTTCCTGGTGTGCTAAAAGCTCGATCCTCACAGACAAAAATCTCGACACATTTTTTTTTTAATTTGTTATTTACGAGTTATTATGAATTTTTTCCTTCGAAAGTTTAGGTTATTTATTATATTTATTCAAAGATTACACAAATTGATTTTATTCACAACTTTTTTTATTAATTGAATATTAATTATTATAATAGAAATTAATGACACACTGCTTGCTTTGCGTAAATTTCGTAGTCGTGCTATTATGGCCTATTTGGTCAATCAATATGGCAAAGATGATTCTCTCTACCCGAAAGACCCTAAGAAACGAGCTTTGGTTGATCAAAGGCTATACTTCGACGCAGGAACTCTGTATTCATCGTTTGGTGATTATTACGTAAGTTTTCCTGAAATCATGCGATTCTTAATAGATTACACGTAACAGGAAATGATTGATCACGAAGTGATAGCCATATACATAAAAATAATTGCAGTATACGTTGATATACAACGGCGTTACTTTGGATCAAGCAGGATACGAAAAGATGAATACCGCATTGTCCTTCTTCGATAAGTTTCTAGAAGGCGAAAATTACGCAGCGGGAAAGACTCTAACTATCGCTGACCTTACCTTGGTCGTAACGATTGCTAATTACAAGGTAGAAAAATTGCTATGCAAATTTTTATGTTCTTTACATTGCAACTTCACGATTGAATTTGTTCATTACAAGCTAGGATAATTATATACGTAGGTTAAATTCATCGGAAATATTTTTACAAATATGCAATTACAATGAGAATAATATCAGCAATTTAATTGACGATATTTTATCAGGTTGTAGAGCACGATCTAAGTAAGTACAGCAACATTTTGCGATGGTTTGATAAAGTACAAAAAGAAATTCCTAAGTACAATGAGCTCGAAGGCGCCGCTATACAGGCAATGAAAGAATTCGCCGCTAGGAGGAAGAAGTGATTTTTCAGCAAAAGCGTAACGCACACAGAATGCACTGATGCTATTTTTATATATTATTGATTTGCCATGCAGTATTTCGCATAATTTCATCAGATTTTATACAATTAAAATGATTATTGAATAGATTAGTGTAGTAATTAATGTAGTTAATTTGAAAATATGTAGTTTTAGAAAAAATAAATAAATTACTAAAGACGAAAATAGAGAGTATTGAGCTACCCACGTTTTTGTGCTGTAATTATAATTTTTAAATTTATTATTATACAAAAACTTATTCTTTAATAATGATATTTCAGTCATCAATTTGCACTGAAGATCGCGAAATCGATGACCAAAAAATCTATATTAGAATAAGATTTTTTACGATAATAAATTTAAAAATTCAATTATTTATAAAATTATTTATAGTATAAGAAAACTGCGAAAATAAATATTATGAAATTGAGAAATATATAGAATAAGAAATTTAGAATCTATTATTATATGTTTTTCTAGAGAAAAGTATTTCTTTATTAAAATAATGAAAAATAATTATGTGCGAAAGCGTAAAACGTAAATTTCAACTATAAACAAAAATTGCAAGCGTAAATAAAGTAGAAAGATATATTTTATAATACACACACCTCCAAGTATGAGATTGAATAATTTTCTACTTTGCCGGTCTTCATTCTATTCATTATATAGCTAAGAAAAGTTATTATGCAAATATTAACGGGAAAATGTATACATCCCCGCAAATTTTGCGGGGGTAAAGTTAGATATTCTCACCTCTGTTGGTCACTTAACAAGAGGGAAACTTTTAACATAGTTCCCACAAGCGCTCTGCCTTTAGAGAATCTTGACCTAGCTCGCGGCGTGGCTTTGTCACGAACAAAAAGTTTTCGTTGCAAGTGGCCAGACCAAAATCCGCTTTCCCCCTTCCACTTAAAATCCTGCTAACAGGTAGATTTCGTCTTATCGACCAGCTGCAGAGTTATATGTCGTATATATGCACAAACTTGCGAAAACTACACAGAGCTAGTTAATATAACTGATATAATTATTCAAACTACGAATTAATTTAAAGACAGAGTTTTACCTTGAAGCTTTTCTCACTAAAATCCTCTAAGTTCCACACAATTTCACAATTATTGCGCGTTGCCTTGACATTGAAGGAATTGTCTTTCTTTTTTATCTAATTTTTGGAATTTGTGATTGAAAGCATATTTGATGGATACAATATAATAAGTTTATCATCTTATGTGTGATAATTGTGGAAATAAAGAACATATAAAATAAAGACATATTCTTTTTAATGTGAAAGTTTTTACAAATATATAAACATGAAGATTTTAATCATTTTTAAGTGAGAATTTTTTTCTCATTTCACAATCTTTCAGCCGAACTCGATGTTAACAAGCCTTTCGTACCGTAAACTCGTTCGTTCTCATTACGCGCGTAATTTACCACAGTGGTAATCGGCCTTCCTTAGACTCGATGTTCATTTGGCTCCACTCTTTAAATAGCGTTTAACGATAGCAATAATTATAGCGTAAGAGTCTCTACTTGCATTTGTCGTATTTGATCGTGGAAATACGGAAATACGTTATAGAAAATAGACTATGTTTTGCTTTATAACAATGCATCTAATGGAACTTGCGTTACGAATACTAAAGAAGGGGTTACCTTTATTAAAACATACTTTTTTAATTACGCTTAGCAATTTCAGAGTTTTGCGCGATAGGTATATTTTCTCGCCTCGCTTAAATTGCACTTTATGGCTTGTAGACGTAATAAGACTCCATAAATAAATAAATAAAACTGTCTATATGTGTAACTGTCCACCTATCTATCGGTCTGCGATGAAAATGTAATAAAGGCCAGAGAAGTTATACGAGTTGTATTTAAACGTATGTCAGTATGTATTGATTGACGAGAAGTCGCAGTTCCAACAGTTCAGTCGCCGTACAAGCTGCTTACGAACTGCATGCGCATTTCTTTCCGCGAAGCAAATATTTTACTCAAAATTCACGGTAAGAAATAATATTTGTAAACGTATTGCGTATTATGTGAATAACGTATGTACGTATATCGATATATAATGAATTAAGCAATTTAAGGCCGAACATGCAATTGTATTATTTTCCTGTGAGCTCGCCTTGCCGAGCTGTATTGCTCACGGCAGAAGCGATTGGGCTCGAAATGGAATTGATAGAATTAAACATATCTGTTGGCGAACATATGACACCGGAATACGGAGAGGTATGAAAACTTGATATAGAACAACGTATATGTATTATATAAAATAGGAAATAAAATTATAATATACTACTTAACATCAATGTATATTAAATAGTATATTATAATTTTATTTCCTGTTTACAATGTTTAATAATACATTGATGTTAAGTAGTATATTATAATTTTATCACCTATTTTGAACAAATTTCGCTCAGTGTATATGTAAATTGGAAACCTAAAAACTCACACATTAATCGTTTAATATGCGGAATACATGGAATTCCATTTTCTAGTTAAATCCGCAAAGGACAATTCCCTTCTTAGTCGATGACGATCTCAAAATATCAGAAAGGTTTGTGAAAGCATTTCAATAGTGATGTAATGTATTCCGCGGTGTACTATTCATCAACAAATGACATTTCAGTCGAGCTATTATGGCTTATTTGGTTGATCAATACGGCGAGAATGATGCATTGTATCCGCGAAATCCAGAGGCGCGCGGAATAATTGATCAACGATTATACTTTGATATCGATACACTCTTTGCGAGTATATTTCATTATTATGTATGTAAATTGGTTAATTTAAAATAAAGCGTACTGTGGTTGCGATTTTATCATAGAGTTTTGTCACAGCTGGTTGTGTTGAGAAGAGAGGCCGATACATACAATCAAGCGCAATATGAAATATTGACGGACGCATTCAAAATCCTAGACACATTTCTCGAAGGGCAAGATTACGTGGCTGGAGCTAATATGACAATCGCCGACTTTGCCTTGGTTGCATCTGTGACCACAGCATTGGTAATTGTGTAGCGCCTCGCACTCATTTTCGACAGATTACACTTCCTTTTCTGCCAACAATGTCATATGGATTTAATTCCTTTGTTGATTATCAACACGACATATCCAAGATTAATTCCTGAGACACACAAGCTTAATCAATTTATCATACAACAAAATAAATATATAACAAATTTATCATATATTAGGCATGTGGTTTTAATGTGGAAGAATATGCAAACGTTACAAACTGGCTGGAAAGGATGCAAACGTCTGCACCTGGATATGAGAAAGCTAATGGTGAGCCAATCGAGATGTTCAAACAATTTGTAGAAGCATCACTGAGTAACGAAGAAGAAGGAGAAAAAGAAGAAGATGAAGAAGAGGGAGAAAAGGATGAAGAAGAGGGAGAAAAAGAAGAAGAAGAAGAAAATGAATAATATATCAAATATATTATTTAAATCTTTAATTTTTTTATGTGGTATCACTAGTTGAAAATTAATCATGATAAATAAAAATGAATATCACGACAAATAATAATAGAGAAAAGTTATCTGCTGTAAAGAGACTTTATCAAAACTGTTACAAAATAATTACGTCACAGATATTTTTATGACATCTTTTAAATTTCTATATTTTTTGGATACATAAATAAAGAGAAATGGAAAAGAAATATGACGCTCATAAACGCGGCACGAATGAGAGAGTTAATTATTACTGTAGATAAGTTTTAGTGTCATATTAATTCGAATATTAGAACAATATTATAGAACAAACAAATATCAGAACAATAAAAAAATTTATTTTATTATTTGCAAATGTTGAATTATATATATGTTTTCTTAATAAAATTTTCGTTTGTTGAAAACTGTTGGAACGAGAAAGATATGAGAACGTGCCGACTGAAGGCAATGCAACCTGCATATTGATTTATATTCAGTGTATGGTATTTCACCTCGTATCGTACGTCGAGCAATAACCTATTGAAGATTACAAGAATTAATATAAACATTTTTAGTCCTTTTTTAATTTATATCTTGTTATATTTTACCTAATTATTCGTATATTATCCTCAACAATTTTTGACACAATATTTACACAAATTTATCTCATTTTATTCTTGATGTTTAACTTATATTATTTAAATAACCTTAGTTCTTTAAACATTTCTTTATCTACAATTGGGATATTAGCTGCAAATTAACCATGAAAAACCATTATTCTGAAAAATACTTAATTTGAAAGATGTTAAGATAAAAGTATTCTACAAATTTACAAGCAATCGATTATCGAGCATTTGGTATGATTGTGTACTTACCGACAAGAAAGTCTCTAGCGATGTAGAAAGTTTATCCTTGAATTTAAAATTTAGACATATATGTCATTAAACCAAATATAATAATTTTTTTATTCTGACACTAGGAATCTTTTCTATAGAACTATACTTTAGAACTATATTTCTTCGCTCATTTGTCGTAATAACGTAAAATATGACATCGCAGTACTTAATATCTATTGCAAGAACGAATACAATATTATATTGTGCCATCGCATAAATTATGCTGAGACAAGCGAAGATCACAATGCAAAAACAAAATATATTGATAAGATGTAGTGAGAATTATATTTTATGAATTTTACAGATATTATATATTATAGATATTATTTCATTTTTTTAGTTCTTTGGCATATAAAATAATTTGAGCCAATTATATTAATATGCAATATGCTACATAAAAATGTGTGTTCTAAGAAAATCATTGTTCTATTTAAATAATCAAATCTACTAATACAGCAAACTTTTGATTTGATAAAAAGATGAGTTTTTTTAATATTAGATACTCTTATTAATCGCAAAAGAGTTGTAATTAAATGCTTATCTCATAAATATATCATCCTAGACATCTTTTCCTACAAATCATAATCTAACAAAACTGATGAAAAAAGTACTAAAGTATCGCGTCTGTGAAACGTATTCGCATTGACGTGTTTTACAACCAGGCGAAAGGATAAAGTATGATTGGTATAATGGTGCAAAAAGCTAGCCTCTCGACGGCGTGGCGCTTTTTAAGATTTGCCGTAAATGAACTTCTTTTGCCGCGGAAGAGTTTTGAAGGAAGCCACTCATTGCATAGCACTTACCCCCATAAAAGTTTCCAAGGATATAACCCCGAATTGTCCAGCGGTTAATGCACACGGTCGGCGTGCTCTGACCATGATCATAATTAGCCCTTTCCTCAGTGCCATTCCTGAACCACTACTGGGCAGAAGATACCACTTGGAGTTATAAGCGGCATCGCAGATAGCTGTGCTTTGCACTATTATGTCGTTACACGTCCACGTATAAAGAAGTAGCTGGATAACGCCACCCACGAAGTGGAAAGCAAAGATACACTTTCTGATAAACACGTCCGCCGCCTGAGAAATAAATGCATCGTAAGAAATTTTAAATTTTAAAATAACACGAACATTTTTTAGCACCAAACTTGCAATTGTTTGAAAAAAATTTTGATTTCTCCATACGTTATTTCTGGATAGTTTTTTTTTTTGCAATTTAGTAATTTTTATATTTTCTGTGCGAAAACTTGCTGTGGCGGAGCGCAGAATAAATTGATAGGAGAAAAATGAGAAACGTAAAATGGAAAAAGAGGAGAATGAGATTCAAAAACTTACGAGAAATTGAAATCCACCGAAGCAGATGACTACACTGGAGAGGAGCAATTGTCCAAGTAATATAATGGCGAACACGCGTTGCAAGTTACGCACATAATATATGAGCTTGAGGTGCTGCTGCACACAATCCTGCAATTTCTTGAACGTGAGTGCCGCAACATCTGTTTCCGACAGATGTTTTTGATCTGTCACTTTGTCGATGCACTGCTCGACGATGACTTCCACTTTGTAGGCCAAGATTTTCAGCTGCGCGGCCACGTGGATGTTGAACGTGCTTACGAAATTGTCAAAACAGAAAGTGCAGATACCCGAGTGGAACGTCGAAAGTGACTGTAAAAACGTCCATTAATCAAATTTACATTTTAGAGCATGTTTGAGAACTAGAAGCGACACGTTTTTATTATTTTATTGATACGATCATTCACATGGATCATTTATAATTGGATAAAATATTTATACCTGAATGACGTAAGTGACCTCGTAATACGGCGAGTGATATGGAAATTCGATCCACAGTTTGAACGGCAGAACCTTCTCCGTTTCATTCGTCTTGTCATGCTCTATTTGCAAAAATTAAAAAAAAAAATTCCTACTGATGCTGTGCAGCATCGCTTTGCGCGAGCGTTCGAGAAATAGCGTTTGCCAGCGCGAACGCGTTTGCAAGCAAGAACGAGAACTATACCGAAAAGAGGCGCAAAGATGTAATTGAACGTCGCGGCGTAGACGATAAACGTGAAGGTGTATATTATGCTCATCCCTAGTTTATCGTACTCTTCTAGAATTCGCGCACTGGTCTCGTCGTAGTCGACGTTCCAAAAATTCTTTTCGGCGAAACGAATCAGCTCCATCACCGTGTCGCGGTAGAAGAAGAAGCTACCTAGCTTCACCAGTATCATTATTAGCAGCAACGTCGTACATAAATTGTACGTGACGGCCTATGAGTACACGCATCATTAAATGTTTATCTCTTTATATCCAGTACGCAGAACGCTATCTCGAAACAGACGCACGATAAAGTACACAGTAAAACTGTACTCTAATATCGACATAAATCGAAGGATACGATTCACTTTTCGAAGAAGCGCTGTGCGGAAACGATCATCGTGTCATACTTACGTAAAAATCACCTAAGCAGTGATACAGATCGACGCCCTCGACGAGAATGGCGAAGACAATTTGCCAAACGGCATAGCCGAACGCGGCGCGCAGGAGCAGCCGTTCCCGCGGTGTCTCGACGTCCCAAAGACCGACCATTTTCATGAAGAGTCGCGTGATACTTACCGATCGGTACTCCTTATTGCGCGTCATGCCGCACCTCGTGATTTTCTCCACGCCACCGCGACCCTAAGTGTGCCTAAATGGCCTGAACTGTCTCCGGACGTAAGTGGAAGTCCTATTATGCTAACAGGCAGGAAAATTGTCGCGCACTTGCCGTGTGCCGATGACAGGCTGTAATCATACGCGCTTCCTTTGCCGAGACGATCAATCGATGTCGGTGCATGAATTAGGTTCGATCTCCGGTGGACAATGCGTCTTGGTTTCCTACCTTCGTCGCTTCCGTCAGTAGACCGACCGCGAGCTATCGTGTCTCGTTGCAAATTGAATGTCTACTTGTAATATATAAGAGTGACGATAAAACTGTGGAACAATTATACTTGCAGATAAGATGTTTAATTCATTAATTATTGCGTGATAAGTATTCTTTTATGTATATATAAATATGTGTGTATAGTGGATAAAAAGGATATTCAAACATTTTATTCTATTCGGAACAATTTTACAGAAAGAAAGAAAATTATTGCTACAAAGTGTCTTTATTACAGAAAATATAATTTTTATTTGAGTTGCCAGAAAACTGCTAAAAAGTTAGATACATTCTTGTACATATCATACATTTTAAGTACACATTGCAAGTACTAAAGATGTTCGTGAACCTAGCATATCATTTTCCAGCAGATCAAAAATAAAAGAGAGTTCTTGTCGCATGCAGTCGAGTTCTATAGTTCCTTATAGTTTTTAGTAATAGTTCTGGTGATTTTATCCTAAAAAAAACAAACCAAATCAAAAAAAATAGATCTGCTAACTTCCCGTAGCAGATCATTTTCTAGCAGATCAAAAATAAAAGAGAGTTCTTGTCGCATGCAGTCGAGTTCTATAGTTCCTGATAGTTTTTAATGATAGTTCTGGTGATTTTATAAAAAAAAACACCGATCGAAAAAGATGATCTGCTACGGAAAGTTGAAGATAAAAAAATGAGGACACTGAACATATATGTGATATTCTGGGACGAAATTATTGATTACGTTCTGTTGATAAATTAAAGAGTTTTTCGTGTAATTCTGAGCCAGTACATTGCTTTTCCAAAGAGTTCTGACGACTAAAATAATTAGAAAATTTTTTAAACAATTAATTTACCCGAAAAACGCGCATTTTTGAGCATATGTGTGATATGCTGGCCGTATATTGATAGTTCTGTTAATAATTAAAGAGTTTTCGTGTAGTTCTGGGCAAGTACATTGCTTTTCCAAAGAGTTCTGACGACTAAAATAATTAGAAAATTTTTTAAACAATTATTTTACCCGAAAAACACGCATTTTTGAGCATATGTGTGATATGCTGGCCGCATATTGATAGTTCTGCTAAAAATTAAACAGTTCTCTTCTAGTTCTGGGCGAGTACATTGCTTTTCCAAAGAGTTCTGACGACTAAAATAATTAGAAAATTTTTTAAACAATTAATTTACCCGAAAAACACGCATTTTTGAGCTTATGTGTGATATGCTGGCCGTATATTGATAGTTCTGTTAATTATTAAAGAGTTTTTCGTGTAGTTCTGGGCGAGTACATTGCTTTTTTCAAAGAGTTCTGACGACTAAAATAATTAGAAAATTTTTTATATAATTTTATATAATTTTATATAATTATATAATTTTATATAATTATATAATTTTATATAATAAATTATTGAAAAATAATTACTGTTATACAAATAATTTTTTCATATCCTTGAAGTTTTTCTTCGTACGCCGAGTATATTCACAATCATATAGTAGAGTTCATAAAAGTTGTTAACAATTATTTAAATATTAGAAACCAGAACTTTTCTGAAATGTATAGAAGTATTAAATATATAGTTCGAAAAAACCCCCAATATACAATAACGTATCACAATTACATAAGCGAAAAGATGATAAAAATTGTTAACAATTATTTTTATTACTATTGATGGATATTGTTATTGAGAACTTTCCAATATCAACTAGAGCCTCGATACTTATACGTTCAACAACTTGGCGATATAATTTGTTTACTAAATATAATTAATTTACCCATAAATTTTATTAGAAATAAAAAGTAATTGTTTAAAAAATTTTCTAATTATTTTAGTCGTCAGAACTCTTTGGAAAAGCAATGTACTTGCCCAGAACTACACGAGAACTCTTTAATTATTAACAGAACTATCAATATACGGCCAGCATATCACACATATGCTCAAAAATGCGTGTTTTTCGGGTAAAATAATTGTTTAAAAAATTTTCTAATTATTTTAGTCGTCAGAACTCTTTGGAAAAGCAATGTACTCGCCCAGAACTAGAAGAGAATCTGTCTAATTTTTAGCAGAACTATCAATATGCAGCCAGCATATCACACATATGCTCAAAAATGCGCGTTTTTCGGGTAAATTAATTGTTTAAAAATTTTCTAATTATTTTAGTCGTCAGAACTCTTTGGAAAAGCAATGTACTTGCCCAGAACTACACGAAAACTCTTTAATTATTAACAGAACTATCAATATACGGCCAG